ACTCATCCATCCACCCATCTCACCTATCCATCCCACTCACCTACCCACTCATCCATCTTTCCACCCCACCCTCCAACCCATCCATGCACCCATCCCCCTATCCACCCATCCCATCCACCCACCCATCCCATCTATCCACCATCCACCTACCCACCCACCCACCCAGCCCAGCCCACTCATCTCTCTGTCTACCCATCTGTTCATCCCCCTCTCCATTTTCCCATCCTTCCATCCGTCCCTCTGGAACTTCATGGAATCAGGTAGCCTGCCACTTCCCCTTCCCCTCAGCTGCCCCTGAGCTGCCATATGCAATAGATTCCTTTGTGAGTTGCCCATGGCCCCACATGTCCCATGTGCTGATGGACATCTGGGTTGCTTCCACTTTGGGGCTGTCCTGGGCCCTACTGCACAGTAGGGACATGTCCTCCCACCCAGTGGACACAGCCCTGTGCTTCTCAGGGTCTTCCTTGGGCAGACACGGTGGGCTTGCTGGGTTTCAGAGCAGCTCTCTTTTGAGAACAGGGTCCTGCTGCCCCCAGCGTCTGGAAGCTCCATGAGGTGTCACCGGAGGGGCTCGGGGGGAACGTGACCTGGATGCAGGGAAGGGCTGGCGGCACCACTATGGGAGGGCAGCCCCTGCGCATGCTCATCACCATCCAGCAGCCGCGGAGCCAGCCCCTGACGGCTGGGATGCCTCACGGTTCAGACACGGCTCAACCCGACCACCAAGTCCCCCATCACGTCCCCTCAGCTGCTGGGCAGCCTCATCCCCAACAACAGAGACAAAGGGCTGTTTCTCTGCTCCCTGAGACACAGGGCCATAAAAGGCAGAAGCCTGTGTCAGGAGGGGGCGGTCAGCTCTGTCTCCGGACAGAGCCGGGCATGGCCCACTGCCACCCCTACAACTTCAGGGGCCCCGTGAGAATCTCTGAAGCCTGTGGAGATGCTGACCTGCCCCTGCCCCTGCCCCCCCACCATATCCCCAGTGCCCAAGCAGGACATGCTCAGAACATGCGCTGACCAACTGAGTAGGCACCAAGCCAGGCAGGGTATAGGGCCACTTGGTCCTCTTCAGCGTCAGGTCCACCCCAGCTGCTGAGCAGGACTCCAAAGAGTGCTGGATAGTGCCTTCCCAAGCAGGCCAGAGTAAGGATGTTGGCAGAAAAGTGTCCCCCAGCCTCAGAGTGGCCCAGCCCCTGGCAGGCACTTCACACCCCCACCTCACTTAGGCCCAGAACTTCCCAGGTCCGTGTGCTGGCCCCAGCCCACCAGCCGCCTTTCTGCTTGCCATACCGGCAGTGCCCAGCAGGTGGCAGCAGTGCCTCAGGAGCCGGCAGGCCACGGGGCAGGGCAAGCACTGGGCTCCTGCTGACCAGCTGCCCCCCACAGCTGCTGCTGCTGCCAAGGGCTGAGCACAGAGGCGGCTCTGTGGATGCTCGTGGTCCAGCACACATCCGAGGCCACAGGGCCAGGGATGCACTTAGAGCCCATGTGGCGAGACAACAGGAGGCCTCATCTAGACATGAGGGTGTTTTCAGATGGGTGCTGGCCAGGGTCCCTGCACCCAAGTCCAAACCTCCAGAGCCTCTGCTTCCTTCTCAGGAACAGGGTCAGCCCAGGGATGAAAAGTGTCCAGGCTCTGTCCTGACCCCGAACAACCTGGCTAGAGGACCTGCCCACCCTAGACTGGGCCCTTGGCCAGCGATACAGCCAGCAGGGCCTGAACCAGCACAACTGTCCTCCTGCCCACACTCAAGGCTGGTGGACCCAGCAACCAACTTCTCTGGAAGTTGCGGTCCCAAGGCACAGGCTGTCAACTTGCTCAGCACTAATTGAGTACCTACTGCATGCTGAACCCAGCACCCCAGGAAGCGGCCTCTGCTCCAGAGTAAAGAAGCTTCTGGGGCCGACCGAAATGTCCGTCGTGAGGGGACTGCATGCACTCAAGGACAGCAAACCCAGCTAGACACAGAGCGGCCGGCCTGCTACAGTGCCCTGGGGACATGAACGGCAGACCACCTGCAAAGCAGGTTGGAGGCTTCTTCTATGGGAAACACACACGTGCATGTGACCAGAGAGCCGTGAAAGTCCAGGAGAAATGACAAGGATGTGCACAGGTGATGGCTTTACTCTTGAGAGAGTCACAAACCGGACACAACCCGAATCCCTCAGCAGGAACAGAGCACACCCACCGTGGTGCACCTTGCCACAGAGCCACCCTGGACCTGCCGCAATGCGAGGAGCCTCCTGTGTGCCCAGGGAGGGAGCCAGGCACACCCTGCCCGTCTCCACCCAGCGACACAGGAGGGCAGAGCTACAGGCAGAAGGCAGGGCAGTGGCCACGGGGGCTGCAGGGACAGGCAAGAGGTCTGGGGGTTCTCAGGTGAAGTCGGGGTTCTGTACATCACGTCTGCC